TCCTTCATGGCCAGGCGTACTAAAGTGTCTGAAGCAAAGCTGACTCTGTTGTCCTTAACCATAATAATTTTCCTCATGGAATATGTTTATGATGGCTTAAAAAAAACCAAAAAGACAATTTGAAAGTTTCTGGGAGAGCCAGAATGAAAGTTAGAAGAGGAGTTGGAGATGCAATATTGCTGCTAACTGGCTATGTGATGAGGGGCAAGTTTTATTCAGTTTTCTCAGTCAAATTGTTGCTAAGGTATCTTTCCGCTCTCGTTTCATTATAACTTGATCTTCAGGAGAGCACACTACTAAACTTAGCAGTGAGATAAGACAGGAAAAATGGAATCACACACTCTTTCTTACCACAGTGGTTAATTTTAAAATCAATCTTCACCCTCAGAAAATTATTTTTTAATTACAAATGCTATTTTGTTTGTTTTTTGTCAAGGTCTCACTCTTGTCACCCAGGCTGGAATGTAGTGGCATGATCATGGCTCACTGCTGTCTCAGCCTCCTGGACTCAAGAGATCCTTTTGCCTCAGTCTCCCAAGTAGCTGTGTCTAGAGACATGCACTATCATGCTTGGCAAATTTTTTGTCAATAAGGTATTGCTCTGTTGCCCAGGTTGGTCTTAAACTCCTGGGCTCAAGTAATCCTCCTGCCTCAGCCTCCCAAAGGGCTGGAATTATAGGCATGAGCCACCATGCCTTAGTTAGTTGCCAATTCTCAGAGGGAAAAACAAAATTTCTGGCATCACCTAACACTATTTCTAATACTGTAATTTATTTATGTATTTAAATAATCAGGTGATTGGATCTCGATGTTAACTAACAACCAATACCAATAAGAAAAAGTTTAGCTATAGTGGCCCTTCCTGTAGCTTGCACCGGTGTTAATTGAGGCATTGGTCAGGGGTTTGGTCCCTCTGGGGGCTATTCAGCTTTACACAAAGAAGATCTCAATTTTTGATGTGCTGCCTTGATAAATGAGGCGTTAATCACCGGAAGTACACTGACAGGATGCAAATATGACTCTTCACCACACCTAGAAAAAGCAATGCCATAGCACTTGTCCCATTTTTTAGTCATTCTGGTGCTGATGCTCACACTTCAGAGTAATGAAAAATTCAAATTAATCTGTCAGGAGGCTGGGCTCGGTGGCTCAGCCTGTAATCCCGCTCTTTGGGAGGCTGAGGTGAGTGGAT